AGCGGTGCTTCCGAGGCTGCTGCTGGAGTAGGGGGTGCACGGCCCGGGGCAGTGGGCTGGTGTGCTTCCCTCCGCTGCCTCTTCGTGCCAGGCGTTAGGAGCTGAGGCCAGGCCACCACCAGCACCGCCCCTTGTGCTGGTGAAGGAGGGCTGCCCCGTGGCGTGATGAGGTGACACGTTGGTGTTTGCTCCAGGACTGGGGCTGTGTGACCTGGCCAGGGCTGTGTGACCTGCCCGGTGCCGTGCTCCTTGATGGTGGGACAGGGGGTGGGCAGCAGGGGCCATCTCAAGTGTGCAGTTTACTGTAACAAATTGAAGAAGTCTTTTTCCTTGTGATTTGGGAACTCTGATATAGTGAATTTTAATGAATACTTAATTTCAATTGAAAAGAGAACAAAAGTTTAATTAGTGCAGGCATCTCTGGCATTCTTCTTTGACGACAAAAATCAAGTCTGTTCTTGCTGTCTCTCGTTTGTTCTGTAACAATTTTTTTTTTCAACTGTTTTTTTCATTGATGGCCAAGTAAAGAAAGCAGTTGATTGACCTAACTGGCATTTCTCTGACATAGGAGAGTGCAAGCTGTAGGATTGGACTGTTTAATTTTTTTATGAGATAAAAGTATGTATTTGCCCGATACAGTGGTGACTTCAGATGGGAAGGTGCTGACCTGGCATCCATCACCAGTGGCCCACTGATGGTGGGCAGCCATAGGTGGCCAGTGGGACCTGGGGTCTCTGCCCATGTTCTCCATCTGGGGGGAAGCATGCAGTAAGTGGAAGCATCTGCTGAAGGCCATCAGCAGCAAAGCAGTATTGTCATCTTCACTGTTGTAATTACTGTGCTGTGGTGTTCAATCCTTACTGAGTTCACCAGGTAAAACTCCCACTTTCTCCTTGGCTGAAGATTTAAGTGCATTGGAGGCCTTTTGGTGGGCAATGTTTTTGTAATCATAACAGTGACACTCGGACCCCCAGACCTGGGCTTCTGGTGCAGAAAGACAGAAGAGGCATCCGTGAAACAGGGAGCTGTGCAGGCGTACACAGACATACACCAGCCCTGCTAAGATAGCAGAAGGAGTGTTTATGTCCAGCCCTTCTCAAAACAATGAGGGCCTTTATGGCTTTACAGCTTATTTTTTTTTGGTTGTCCATAGATGTTTCTGGCGGGTGAGAACACAGCACGCCTTCTGCACAGACTTCCTCCTGTCTCTTGGGTACTGCTGAATGCTGAGGGGGATTTTTATGTGAGCCTTTATTTCTGAAGAGAGCAAACATGTTTCTTTGTTCTCTTCCATAGCTGCTTACAGCAACATGAGGAAAACATTATTGTTAAAGTGTGAATGGCTGAAAAGCGTAGCTTTTTCATAAGTTTCATATAATTTACCTAAGACAACTACAAAGACTCTGTCAGAGGCAGGAAGAGAGTCTGGAAGACCTTATCTGATAAATGTTGTATTCACAGTTTGAAAGTGAGTCTTCCTGCATAGTGGGAAGTTCACTGGAGTCTCATAAATGAGGAAAATTTGAAGAATGGATGAGGAAAATGCAAAAACAAACTGTGGAGAGAACACAGGAAGAGCTGAAGAGCTTCGCAGAGATAGGAGACACATAGTTCTCAGATATACTTGACTGTTGCCAAAAGACACCCTGAAGCAGAACAGGGGTACAGCTAGCCCATGGCTGCTTGTAACCACCTACCTCTTGGGTGATGAACTTGGCCACGGTCTTGGTTCTAGCCACCTCTGTGAACCATCGCTATGAGCAGAGGCTGTGGTGCTTTCAGGAATGGGTGTGCTGTAGTCCTGGAGCTGTTCCTGTCCTTCCTAGTCTGTCCATCAGGGGCTTTTCAGGGACCTGTCAGTCAGCACTTCATGTCTGCTGTAGTATTTTGTAATTAAAAGTTTCAGTTAATGCTAGGTAGTGATTCTTCAGTGGCTGATCCTCACCATGTTTTCAGTTCCAGAGTGCAACTTTTTAATCATGGTCATGGAATGAATTGTCTCATTGATAGTTCAACATCATTCAGGTTTCCTCATGCAAGTTGCTATGCTCTAGCAAGTATTATATAACTTCAAGTGTAATTTGAAGGGAGGTTGAAGCAGAAGTGTGCTTGTTGTAAAGGAACCACTGTGTAATATGTTAAAGAAATTTGAATGCGTCTCGGAGGCCTGAAATTTTATTGGAAGGTTAATGACTGTTGATTTTCATACCCCCCTGGAAGTTCTGAATTAATGAAAAGTAATGCACTTCTAAATTGTTTTCCAGTTCACAAAACTCTTCCCGTCATCACCTTATCCAAAAGCTACGAGCTTCTCAAAGAAGGGGAAGAATTTGAAGTTACATGCATAATCACAGATGTGGATAGCAGTGTACAAGCTAGTTGGATTTCTCACAAAAGTGCGGTGAGTTCCTTTAATTGCATTATGTATGCCTCAGCCCGGTACACAAACTCTCTGTAGTCATTCACGTGGTTGTCTTGAATCCCTGATGCTATATTGATTTGGATTTGTTGCATTTCCAAAGTTCTCGCACCCCACAGACTGGTGAGGAGCCAGCAGCAACCATCCCATGCCCATGCAGATGGCTGGGAGGAAAAGCATCTACATGGGCTTCTCTTTCCAAACAGAAATTAAAGTTAGGCTCCTCAATGTGAAGTTTAGGTGACCTCTGTTGGGCTGCCTAAATACGGAAGCACGGAGTGCCTACACATCACATTGCAATCAATGGGAGCTGCAAATATCAACACATGGACTGCAAATTACATATTCTAGTCGTTATCATTAACAGTAAAATACCTGCTAATTAGCTTGGGATTGTGTGTGACAGGAATAGTAGTAAGCATTCGCAGGAATGATTAATTCATTTAAATTACATGGTGTGCCTCACTAACCGAGAACGTTCTGAAAAATGAACTAGTGAATTGGCTTCTGCCTATAGTGATAGATGAAGTTACTGCCTGGCATCACCAAATTAAATACTGGCGAGCTAACTGCTCCAGCAGAGTCGTTACCAGCAGCACAGCTATTCTGCGGACAAGGGGCAGAGAGATCCCCTCCCCCAGTCAGCCAGCATGCTGCCAGCTCTGCCTTTGAAACAAGCAGCAGGCACTGGGTTGTTTTTAAGGACACTTCTTGGTCTTCTGGGTATACCCTAAAATTTAAATTAATTAAAAGCCCTTGTGAAGGCCTGTTAGTAACTCCTGCTGTATACACTCCCATGCTAATTGGCCGGTCTGTTACCACTAATGGTAGTGACCAGAATATGTAATTCGCAGTCCATGTGTGTATAGAAAAAAAGGCCTCTGTGATGCTGTGGTGTTTGGATAAATCACATCTCCTTGGGCAGATAGCGAATGGGCAGCCTGTTCCCTGGGGTTGGGCATGCCATGCTTAGCTAATCCGCTGGCTGTGGCAGAGCTGCTCTCGCTAAGTGGTTGCTGCTCCAGAAATGCCCCTTTGCAGCTCCAAAGGTTGAGGGGATCTAAATGACGTGAAGGTGGTGTGGGACATGCAGATGGGGCTTTGGTCCTGTGCCAAGGTCAACTGCAAGTCCTTCACCTGAGAACTTAATTTCTTCTCTTGTTCCTCTCCCTTTTCTTTGTTACAGTGTGATGAAATCGGGGCCTTCCCTTAAGTTTTTGTGCTTTATTGCTTTTCGCTTTATGAGTAAAAGCCATGAGGAAAATATTTTTGACCAAATAAGTTTGACCTTTCTGTCCTTTCTGGTAAATATCAGGGGAAGTTATCTTTTAAATATTGACTATCAGGTTAAATTTTGTACTGAAACAGAATACGTAAAATTCATGTTTAAATAGATGCAGAATTATGTTTTATCCTGAATAGATGAGAGAAAAAAAAAAACCACCAAACATTTTTTCCTTGTACGACTGAAGTTATCGCCACTTTTGAAAATTAGGAGATTTGTCATAAGCAAGCACATTCATACGAAACAAACTTCTGTTTGTGATCATTATAGCTCAGGAGGAATCAAAATTGCGTTGAGAAGATTAAATTTATCTATAAGCTCTTGGAACCTCCAAGAATTGAAATTATTCTACTAGAAAATCACAAGTCCAAGTCTGCATTTGGATTAATCAATGTAAATTTATCAGTCTTTCTAACGACACTGGGTGTTCTCACAGAAACTAAAGTCAACACCTCAACGCATTTATTTTTCCTATGCATATGTAGGCATAGAGTCATGATATACTCAATGCTTTGAAAAAAGAATGAAGTTTCCAGTTGCCTTTAAGATTAATAAATCTAGATTGCTATAGACCAAGAATCAGAGTGGGTACCAGAGGAAGGATGCCCTGTAAAGCCTGCTGCCAGCAGATCTCTGCAATCAGGAGGTGCCCTGGATTTGGGGCATAGAGCAACCCAGTTTAAAATGAAGCTCCAGCACCTTAAATTCTCTCTTGTCATTCGCTAGGAAGCGTTGCAACCGTTAGAGAGTTCAGTGGAGCTTGAGGAGGAAAAAAATAAAGACTAAGGGGAGGGGATAGGACTTAGAGAGGACATTATCTCCCAAAGACAGCTGATCACACACTTGTTTTGCGTGGAGAGATTCTAGTGACAGGTTTGTCGTCCTGGCTTATTATTCTGGTTTAAAGTTATGAATATTAATATAGCAAAGTTATAATTACTTCTATTTTTAATTTATCTAGGAAAGATGCTGCATACACAGTGTTTTAGATGTTAATTGTTTTTTACCGACAGATTGTTACAAGCAAAAGCAGAAATTTGGGTGATTATGGATACGAAAGGAAATTAACATTGAACATCCGTTCAGTGGGAGTTAATGATTCTGGAGAATTCACATGCCAAGCAGAAAACCCTTTTGGAAAAACCAATGCCACAGTAACCTTGAAAGCACTAGGTAAAGAGTTCTTGTAGAAATCTTAACATTTCTAAAAGTGGGATGTGGAAAGTGAGAACACTGGGGAGCCTTCCCTTCCATCTCTCTCCTTTCCCCAAACGTCAACAGTAAAGTTGCTTTATTAAAAGGTTATTGCTGACTGGTACCATATGGGATGGCGCAGGAAGTGTTGTGGTGCGTATGACTACTTTAATTTCTATAACCCTTTGCCTGTTATTGGAATGTGATATTAGAACAACCACTCAACAATGTTTCCATCTCTCTGGTTTGTCTCATCCCTTCTGGTTTAATTTTAATTTTAATCCAGTCTTAACGAAGCAAGTAATTTACCTTTGCCTGGTACTATCCCTACATTTAAGTAATTTGGCAGCACAAGCACAAAGCATATCTTTAATATCTGCCTTCCAAGCATGGGAAATTTTGCTGACGTCGGCATGTCAATGTGTTTTTACGTAGAAGCTATATATGTACCTCTATTTAAAATAATGCTGCAAGGAATACTGCGGTGTGCATAGGCAGTATGAAATTGTTGCGGAGCTCAGCCTTGTGGTAAACCCACTATCCATCACTTCCACAGGTTTTGGATCCCTTAACAATGGGTGAACTCCCTCCCTCCTCTTGTTTAATAACACTTGTTTAGAGTCTGCTATATGTTAACCTGGATGACACACAATGTCTTTTAAATTTTAAAGCTGCTGAAACCTGCTAATGTGATAAATTAAGGACAATTAAGGACCTATTGGTGTAGGTAATAAGATCATTCTGAAGAAGTCTGCGTAGTTGGCTACAACCATTTCAGTTCCTTATCATTCAAGGGTGTAGAAACTGAAGGACGTGTAGCCTTGGATCCTTTTTCCTTTCCAAATGAGTTTTTCTGTGGCACAGATACTCCTGCAACATTGCTTGTTTTGCTTTCCCTGGTAACTTAAAGAAAACAGAAGTATTTGACCTATGCAGGTCAGATCTTGAGCAGAGCAGCAGAAGTTTGACTGCCCTTAACCTTGCTCTGCTGTTTGAGGGGGTAGGGCTCATAACGCTGGGTTTTCCTCTTTTTTTTTTTTACAGGAGAGGCTAAATTCATATGTAAAAGAGTGAAACAGTGTGAAGTATGAAAGAAAATCTTTTCCCCAAGGGGAACAATATGAAAGCTTTTATTGTAAGAGAAGGGAAGTTCTTAGCTACAGAAATTCTCAGGACTACTATGTATGCAAATGTGGCTTTAAAAAGGATTGACTTTGGAAGCTCTGAGGACTAAAATAAAGCATGGCATTATAAAAAGTAGAAAATAAAGTAACAAGTTTATATTTAGTAAAATGCAAAGTTTGTATTTAATAAAAAATGCCAGAGAAAAAATGAAATCTTTCATTTTCAAGAATGTTTCTCTCCCCACCCTCTCAAATTTGACTTAAAATAAAATAAACTGTCTCCTGGATGCCTTTCACCATTCATTGTCAAACTGACTTTATTTGCCTGAACCGTGCGAGCTCCCAGGGTCCTGGGAAACGGTGTACGACATGTACTGGAGAGATCCTGGGATTGTACCATATCGTAAATTGCTGTGGCTTTAACATTAGCCAAAAAGTTTTCAAGAAATAATGGGTACTTTTGGTAAATTTCCTAATTACTTTTTTTTTTAACTGTTAATTTATCTAACAGTAAACAGTTTCTAGAACTGCTTTTTGGGGACTGATAGCACAATCGTAAAATTTTATTTGCAGGCTGTTGGGTCTGATTTTGAATCTAGATTGCATAGGGGATCCTGTGTTTGTACAGAAAATAGAAAGAAAGCTCTGTGAAGGAACTAAAAATCTTCAAGTTCCAGATTTAAAACCTTTTTCTCTTTTCTAATGATGGAGAGCGTTTTAGAGCATACCTGCCTGCTGTGAGTTTATTTCATCCTTTCTTCTCCAAAGCATCTGTCAAGGGCTCTGGCAGCTCCATATGCTTTCACCAAGCCCCATTGGCTCTGGTTTTCCTGAGCTCAGGTGCCCAGCTGGCCACAGCAGTTTGATTACTAGAAAGTGGGAAGAAGGAGGGATCTGAGATTGGCTTTTGGTCTAAATTCAAGCGCTCTCAGTAAATGTGTTTCCTTGTAATTGCAATCTGCCTGTCAAACTGATAATTCCCCTATGAATTTGTGTAATAGGACTGAAAAATTTGTCTTTTCAAAGTGAATAATCCTGAAGCTGATGAGTTTATTAATGAAATTAAACCCACTGCAGTAAGGATGCTGCTCTACATGATATTTTGGAACAGAACTGCACAACAATAAATGGTATCTGCCAAATAAAAGATTAAGACTCAGCAGTAAATGATCAGAAATGCCTTCATTTAAGACAATTGGTATCGAGGCCTGTGGACTTAGCACATTTTTCTCTAATTACAGTTTTTAATAGCTTCATTTGTAATGTCATTCTTAATTACACTTACAAAGAAACCTTAAATGCTGTAGTATATTGTCATAAATGATCAATTTATCTTGCTTTTTTCTTAGTGTTTCTTTCATACCAGGCAGTTAGCGACTCTGATTTTTGGAAAAATATAAATACTTGAGTAGAATCAAACATGTGCTTGCATTTTTTCAAAAGCCAGTAGAGGGTATTTATGACCAGAAGATGGAATTACTTCTGCTGAGGCACTCAAGGTTGCATTAAGTTCTCTGCCTTATTGCTATACATAGTTAGTGGCCTTTGTTTTGGCAGGTGAGGGTTCAAGTTCTGCTTTGTAGAAAAAGTTTCCTGTTTCACAGTTGGATGTTTGATCCTGATCTTGAAGTAGTCTAAGTGTGGTTAAGAGTACTGACAATCTTCTAAATGGCCCTGAAATTGTTTTTCTTCTCCTCTTATGGCCATCAGCTAAAGGATTTGTCCATTTGTTTGCAACAATGAATACCACAATAGATATAAATGCAGGACAAAATGGAAATTTAACAGTTGAATATGAGGCATATCCAAAACCGAAGGAAGAAGTCTGGATGTACATGAATGAAACATTACAGAATTCATCAGATCATTATGTCAAATTCAAGACTGTGGGCAGTAACAGGTAATACAAATGACTAATTACTGTGAATTTCACTTTGGAACAGCAAACTAGAGTCTGCTCCGGAAAGAAGAAAGTGGAGATGTTGAGAAAATGATGGTTATAAAAGATCTTGTAGTACACGTGGCTTACCACAGTGACTGGTGCAAAGTCTGCTAACCTAGATTTTGAATAGTGTTGAGCTAACCATGCCGTCTGACAACCAGTATGCCACATACTCATAACTCACCTACAAGATGCCTTTCCTGCCCAATAAGCAAAACCAAGAATTTAAAGTTGTTTATGTGTGGAGATGCCCTCCACCACCACAGCAGAGCCCAATGCTCTGTACAAAAGCTTATGCTTTTATTTTTGCTGGGCACTGTTCTCTCCTGAGTCCTGGTCCTCCAGAAATCCAGTGAAGCATGTAGCACGTGTGGCCTGGGTTGTGTGTCTGGGTTCCCCCCTTAGCAAGAAAATGAGCAGGCAGTGGTGCACATGTGGGGTCTGAGCCTGGTGCTGAGCTGTCACCCGGGCACACATCTGGGTGTCAGAAGTGACAAAACTCTTTGGTGCTGTAGTACAAGGGCAGTTGTGATGCAAGATATGAGTGTCTGCATGGACGGTGTCTGCAGAAGACAGTGCACTACTAAGTCACTTCTTAGCTTCCATGCAGCAATTGCCTGTTTGTCACAAGTTGTGAGCATCAGTAATGCTTAATTTTTTTCTTTGCAGTTATACAAGTGAACTTCACCTTACCCGATTAAAAGGAACAGAAGGAGGCATTTACACATTTTTTGTGTCCAATTCTGATGCCAGCTCCTCTGTAACGTTTAATGTCTATGTGAAAAGTAAGTAAAGTGAACAGTCTGAAATATTTCATTATCACAGTCATTGTATTTTATACAACATAATGTATGCACAAGATGTCACAGTGTGGTTCAGCATATGAGAGGCTTTCTGAAGTGAAGCACATGCTGGAAAACTATTTAAATGTCAAGATATAAAAGTGCAGAGTACTTACACAAATCCACCTACTATCCAGCATGACCTTACATTCTAGTGAACATATTCCAAAAGTTACCAGAGAGTGGCTAGGTAGTTTATACAGGAAAAAAGCTGTAGCACCTGGAAACACGATCTCAAAAATAGGCATCTATCGTAAACTTTTGATAATTTAGTGGAGCAGGATATACAGATATTATAAATTGCATTTGGGCGCGGGGGCAAGTTAAACAATTAATTGTCTTTAATTTGAGTTGGATGCAGAGTTTGAAAGCTTGTCAGGAGAATTATTCACTTGTGCCTTTGGCATCTAAATACTTCTGTATAAATCACCATTGTTTTAGAGAAATCTGCATAGCTTTACAAATGCGTGTGCTGTCATCTTTGGGACATCCTTGTTGAAAAAGAGCATTGGTCTCGGTTCCAAATAGTGTTCTTCAAGACAAGAGCTAAACTTCAACATGAATTCAATGAAGCCTTCAGGAAACCCTGTCCTGCGGAGCCATCCTGTTAGAGCATTTCATGCTCTCAGCAGACAAATATTGGTCAAGTTTAAGGAAAATTAAACCAGGAAGGGCCTGCAGGCAAACTGGAGAAATGAAGGCGAGGCAGACAATGGTGCCTTCAAGTCCAGCAGGAGGAACTGTATAGAAAATGAGTGAATGGGCTGCAAATACAGTTCTGTGTTGATGCTATGCTTTAGCAGCAATGTATCCTTCTCCAGGCATAGGTTTATGCAGGGGACTGTTGAGACTTCCACAAATGCAGGAAATCCTGGATACTAATTCCTGAATTCTTATTTGTCACTGAAGGTCAACATTTGTAGTGTTACTATTAGCAACGTCATAGTTTGGGTCTAGAAATATCTCTTGGGCTCCTTTCAGAACATGGCATTTCTTCCTTCATCTGTGAGTGTTGGTCATTTGTGTTCCTGCGCCTTTTCCATTTCCTAGCTGTGATTTCTGAGATGAGGGCACTGGCAACCTCAGATGTCCTTTGTCTCCATGGATGAGTGCGGGGGATGATTCTACTATTTTACAGATTAGCGGAGCAAATTATTGAGCCAGAAGTTTAATTTCTGGGAAAGAGTTAATTGCAGATTGCCTGTGGAACTGTCATTTCACATGAGGCTGGATGGTGTTTTCCAACTTGCAGCATCATACGTGTGTCTGAAGCAAGGGGCTGTTCCTGGTCCTCCCAGCCCTTCCAGACTCTGCAGGCTGCTTGAGAGCAATCTGGGCACAAGAACTCAAAAAAAACCCCAACCCACAGTTTTGTCATCACCAGGTGTCGGTTCTTGGTGCAGAGCTCCACGTTGCTGCTTTTGAGGAATGTCCTACTGGATAAAGCTGAAAACCCCTGTGGATCATGGTTAGGAAACCAGGCTAGGAAGAGCATGGTGAAGCAGGCCAAGGCAAGCGGGAGCATAGGCAGTTTAGTTCTTCTGCATGGCTTGTCAATATAACCAGCAGTATGCAAGTCTTCTTCCCGCTTGCTTCAACTACTGGTCTTCTAAGTAGTAAGATCAGTCTTGGGGTGCAAGGAGGATGTTAAGCAGTCTCATAGAGCTCACGTTACTATGCACCGTGTCCCTGGGTAGACTGCAGCTGTTGCCGAAACAGATGGATTTGACACACTTGACTCAAAAAGAGTTTATTTTGGCATTTTGAGTAAGCTCCTACAAATATTTTTTTGCTTTCAAAAGAGGAGATGGAATAGATTGATCCTTCTAGGGTTTGTTTTTAAGAAAAATAACCTGTTCTCAGTGGCTTGTAAAATGCTCATCATTTAGGTATGAAACACAAACTGCACAGCAACATACCCTATTATTTGACATAGCAGAGTAACTGCCAAAGGTGAGTCATGTGTGTGCGGGTCAGATCCCGATCTAATGGTGTGTTCTGACCTGGCATTGTTGTCAGTGGGGATTTCGCATAAATTGCTGGGGTGTAGCTCGTGATGTTTACATGTCTGGCTTGGGCAAGTAATCAGCAGAAAGTAATCAAACAGGTAAAACAGGATTCATAATCAGGAGAATATCTTAACATAAGCAAAAATTGATGCCGAAGCATTTGCTGAAAGATGTGAAAAACCCAGTGCAGAAATACTTGCCTTGGATTTAAACACATTTAGCAATTGCATATGCTAATCTGAAACAATACCAAATTGCTTTAAAAAAAAAAAAAAAGTAGTAATTCATAGTAAATGTAACATAAAGTAAGTAAGGAGCTCCAAAATTAGGAGCCAAAAAGAAAATTACAACTTGACAAGCAGCTTGCTGGACTGAGTTACAATTAAGAAATTGTGCAAATCTCCAGAGTGGCAAGGTACGGTGTCTCTAGCAATTAGTGGAGGAATCTTCCAACTAGTATCTGAGTTTAGTGCAAATTAATATATGGGCTTAATTATAGTCTACAAAATACTATCTATGCAGTTGGGGCTTATGCTGCAAAAAGAAGACTGGTGACGGTGTTATAGATCACGTGAAGCCAAGCTCAGCGGTTTTCCCGTCATTGGATTGTGCAGTGAACAAATGAGGAGTCACCATGATATTATAAAAAGATTTATTCCGATGCAGGAAATGTAGCTCCAGGAGGAAAGCTCTCGCGCTTTCACTACAATGACAGACAATACTTATGAAGTGTTACTTTTTAAACATTTATGTCATTAATGATGAAGAAAAGGAAATTGGTAATAGAAAGCAATTAAATGCACAACATTAATATACAATATTATATATTTAATTAAAATAGGAGTGGCCTCTTATAAATCCTCCTAGATACATTCAGAATCAACATTAATAAAGCTGGAAAGCAGTTAATAAACTTAGTGAAATTAGAAGTTTTAGACATCTAATGACTGATTATGGAAGGCGATGTGTATATAAGCTGAGCAATGTAATGAAATGTTAAATATTTAAAGGGTTAAAGCCACAACAGTAAGCAAAGTCTAGTCATTAAGAGCCTGTCTGATACCAGGGGTAATTAGGCAGTGAAATTCATAAAATCTAGTACAGTAAGATCTCTTTTAAAAAGAAGATGCTGGGTGACAGCTTAGCATCTGTTTGCGACGCTCAGTCTGTCTTTGTTCCAGCGTCCCCTGGAGCACCTACGCTGGCAGGTGAGGAAGATACTGCCAGAAAGGGGTGCAGGTGCTGAGACATGTGTGTGGCCTGAGCCAGCAAAGGCACAGCCCGGGGGACAGCAGGAGCAACCGCCTCAGCCCCTTTGGGTACTGGCTGTGGAGGGCTCTTTGCTGCCGCAAGTGAAACGCATCCCTTATTTCTCTGAGCTGGGGAGGCTTGGGAGCCCTCCAGGCTGGTGGGGAGAGGCTGATCACACTAATCGTCACATCAAAGTGCTTCACCAGGCACATAATGGCTAGAGCTGCTCTCAGGAGTCAGCTGCAGCTCTTCCCATGACACCAGGTCTGGACCACTCTGCCCGGGGTTCTGGAGGTGTTAACCCTGTGCGGCCTCTCATCTCCCTCTGTTGCTGCAGGGTGAGCCCATGTGGACTCATGGCCGTGTAGACAGGCTTTTATTGAACTAGGTTTTTACAGCAGAAAAAGCCTGACTAGCATGGGCATTTTTGTTTCCCTCACTCAAAGTCAGAAGATGGTAGATGCAGCCCAACTCTGGCACAATGTTTTTTCTGGGGCTTAATGTTCATATTCCTCTTGTATTTGACTTTTCATTTCTCTCATTTCTTGAGTTACATTGCATTGTAACATTGCCTAAAACATAGCATATACCTAAACAAATTCCACATGGGTAGTAGATTAGCTAATTACAATTTACAATTCAGCCATTTTGATAGGAGTTTCAGATACGTGAATTATGTGTATTCCATGAGTGCTGAGGCTGGGTGAGATGCCACGTGCTCTCAAAAGGTTCCTCACCAAATGAGTAATGCTGAAGATCCATCTCAACATTTTGCAACAATGTTTGGTTCTTGGTGGTTTGCATAAAACACAACAGGCGGATTTAGAAATGAAAGTACATTCGGTTCCTGTAACATGAGTCATGAGGAGATGCTATGTGATTGAGAATATACGTGTGCTTTATTGCCTCTAATTTAATCAGCAAGTAGAAATTCATTAAAAACTAACTCCGTGCAGATTTTGTACGTGGATTTTATCTGAAATAAATCTGCATTTTCCCACTGCAGTCTATACAGCTTCACTACTTTCTAGAATATTAGAAGTTCATCTAATTACGTTTCTGTAAAGTTGTATTAACTGATAATGGGCTCTTAAGTTGTACTGTCAGGTGAGAAGCATCATAGCTATACAGTCTGGTTTTCCCATTAACTTCTTTTTGGGTGATTTTGTAAGGACGTTAAGGTAGTTATGGGGAATAAGGCTGTAAATCAAGTTTCACCAAGAAGAACCTCTTGCTGTGTTGGTGGTGCACTTGGCGGAAGACTATGACATTGGACTAATGACTGTAAAGTCCATCTGATTGCTCTGGTTTCCTGCCATACTTGAAACAGCAGCTCCTGAACCAACTGCAGGACTAGCTCCGGTGCAGGATGTGGCAGGAGGCATCAACTGGCTGGATTGCTTTCTAAACTACCAGAGCAGTCACGAATTATCATTCGGAAAGCTAATATATTCAGCCAAATATTAGCTTCCTCTGCATGCAGCGTTTCAGAGAGTCAGGCAGTTGGGCGTTTCATTAGTGGTATCTTAGAGGGACGTATGTCTTGTGGGGATGGGGAGGACTGCACTGGTTGCCTTGCACTGTAGTTCCTTTTCTGTCTGCGGTGGTAATATTTAGTACACAGGGCAGATGTAAGAGAGATGTGGTTTGACAGATTTAGTACGCTTATAACTGTGAAGAAACTGTCCTTTTTACAGGTGGGTAAATCATGCTGTGCAGGAACTGGAACTGCACTGTTGTTCCAAGCACCTATTTCTTAGGGTTCTTTAAGCTCTGGGTTTTGCTGGTTCAGGATCTTTCATCAAACCAAATGTTAAGGTATTCTGAAATCCAGCCCAAGCATTCAAGGTAAGAACTGATATTTTCACAGATGATCGGCGCTTTCAGGACACCGATTCAGCCCCGGACACTCTTAAACATGCAAAGCTGTGTTCGCTGGAGTAATTCCACAGATGATGATGCACAAAAGTTGCTGGGGTGAAAAGCAAATGGCAATGCAAATTCTATGTTCCCCTAATGTGTGACTCTCATTTTTGTTTATTGCAGCAAAACCGGAGATTCTTACTCTGGATATACTTAGCAATGGTATTCTCCAGTGCGTAGCAGCTGGATTCCCAGCCCCTACCATATACTGGTATTTTTGCCCAGGAACTGAGCAGAGGTGAGTTAAGTAAACCAGAGTCACCAAAGGTTATTCTAGATGCAACACACCCAGTTTGTAATTAAAAATTAAGAACATAAAATGACTCTGTAACAGTTATATTCAAAAGTTGCATCACTGTTTTCATCATTTTCAGCATTGCATTATTTGCAGTGGTTTGAGGGAAGGGAGGGGTATGTTTCATTTTCCCCCTTTGCATTCTGTCCTTGAAAGGGGAATAACCAACATTTCTGCTGTGGAAAAGAAGAAGCCAAACTTTCTCTCTGTTGCAAGCTAGCTAAGGTTTGTATCAGTTGGCCTCAAATGACACACATTCTCTATGCAATTTCACAGAATGACAGTCATAGAATCACAGAATATGGCTGTTATCTTTTGGTTTATTGTGTAATGATATCATTTTTCAAGGCATAATTAGATTTCTATTTGCATGAAGCATGTGACAAGTAAACAAGTCAGAATTATTATCAATAAAACCTGATGTCTAATTACTACATTCCTAAAAACATTGTAGAGTTTCACTGTGAAGTGAGCGTTGGTGAAGCATGTTTTAAGGTTTTGGTTGAATTTCACCGTGGTTGTAGATCTCATACTAGCAAATCATGGGTCTCCCACGTGTGTAATTTGTTTTATGCCAAAATATGTGTTATTTCCTTAATTTTTTTACATAGTACTTTTTTTGATTGTAACTGTGTTCTCATGTAGTAAATATTTGACATAAGAAGGAGAGGTAGCATTTTGAGAGAACAGAACTGGCTGTTTTCTGGCTGTATATAAGCTAGATGGTGTTGTATGTACATCATGGAATTTTTTTGTGATGTAATAAAAAGATGCTTGGGGGAAGTTCCCAAGGGTAGGTAATAGATCACAACTGCTGAAAGCTGAAGTTGGAGATGCAGGTTGAATGGTACAAACCCCATAGTAGTCCTACAGCTGTAGATATCTCTAGCCAAAAGCAAACGCAAAGACCTCATTGTGTCCAGTTGGGTCAGGCTTGGTGTATGTATCCATTTCACCCACTACACAGAAGACAATGAGACATCGTGAGTAGGCTAAGTTTCGAGGATAAGATCTTCGGCTGAACCTCTTTGTAGAACAGTGTTGTTTAGTTATCTGATGGTCTGTCAGTGTCTACCTGCCTCAACAGCAGGACCTGTCATCCGTGGCAGGTAACTGTCAGTATTGTTTCTCCCAGGTGTTTTGATTCACCGACAATATCCCCCATGGATGTCAAAATCAGTTACACAAATTCATCAGTGCCATCATTTGAACGAATCCTGGTTGAAAGCACCATTAACGCCAGCATGTTCAGGAGCACCGGCACCGTGTGCTGCGAGGCCTCCAGCAATGGGGACAGGAGCTCTGCTTTCTTCAACTTTGCTATTAAAGGTAATGGCTGGAGCGAATGAGACCATAAACGTGGGTGCTGTTCAGCTCTTTCTGTAAGAGGATTTTAAGTGGTTTACCTTTGCCATAAGAAAGTTTATGGTGCTGTGGCTGAGTGTATGATAACGTATTATGCCACATGTTCTGTGTGTCTCAAAGCATTGGTTTAATTTTTCAATTAATATTGTTATACCATCTTTTTACAGCCGCAGATCTGCAGCACAGTAGGTAGCTTGTTTTCTTCTGTCTATGCAGCACAGGGGCAAACCACCTACAGGATTACACTGTCTTTCCCTCTCTCCCTTTTCTCTTCCTATTTCAACTATTTAGGCCATCACTTTTTTTTTCAAGGAAAGACTGCATTTTTTTTTTACAGTGTCTCACAAAAAATGCAGTCCAAAACTTGCCTGGAGCCTAAGGGCCTTGCTCTTCTAAAAGAAGAACAACCTACTGCGAAAGGGCTTATGAGTTTTGTAGCAGTATTTGTGGGTTTGTGGGGGAAAAAGAAGCACTAGAACATAGATGACTCGAAATGTGTTTGTAAATCTGTGCTCTTCTTTGCAAAATCAAATGTTCTGCTGCTTTTTTTTTTCTCTGTTAACACCCAGATATAACATATAAACAAATAAGCCAGATTTTGGGCAGATGGGTTTTACTGGAATGGTATTCCTTTGCTACTTGGCACAACCTCTACTTGTAAGGATTGTGCTGTAGAGATCATACTTGGGGGCGGGGAGAAAAGAAATGAGGACTTCAGAAGAAAGCTTCTTTCTTTAACCTAACTTGACTGAGATCATGCAAGCTCTTGCATCAATTGATCTTGGTGTCACACCTCCTGAATTGATGAAACTGAGACTCCGGACGCAACAAACGGGATGATTTCTGTGCCAGCTCTGTGCCCCACAGCTCATTCAGGCAAGCCATTCTGATGTACCTGGAGCACATCTGGAAAAGTCAAAACCCCAAACTGTTTTACAAGGAAGAACTAAGGAAAGGTTTTCACCTGCATATTTTCAATATAGTTTTTGTTGTTCAGTATTTAAACAGAATTTTCTCTTTCTTTCCAGAACAAATCCGTACCCATACCCTCTTCACCCCTTTACTAATTGCGTTTGGAGTTGCTGCAGGACTGATGTGCATTGTAGTCATGATCCTGGTGTACATATATTTGCAGGTAAAATCAGAAGCCCCTATGCCTGAGTTAGTAAAGTGTGTGAGCTGCCTGTGGAGGCTTTGGTAGCGACAGCTGTTCTCTTTCTTTTCCAGAAACCCAAATACGAAGTTCAGTGGAAAGTTGTTGAAGAAATAAATGGAAACAACTATGTTTACATAGACCCAACGCAACTTCCTTATGATCACAAATGGGAATTTCCTAGAAACCGGTTGAGTTTTGGTTAGTTTATATTTATTTAACTTCATTTGCAAGGTGAAATCTTCAAGTCTCATATGAGACTTTGGTCAAACAAAGCAGGGTTTTGTCAAAAAGACGTATTGCAATAATGCAAATAGCGATAATTGCACATACTTACTGTGGGACAAAAAGCAAGCAAGCCTATTCACGATAGCTTCCTTGATATCATCAAATAAAATGTTGACCTCTTCAGGAGGAAGTACTCCAAGTTGTTACAGAGTGTTTTGTTTTGCTTTATCAGGTAAAACCCTTGGTGCTGGAGCTTTTGGAAAAGTTGTTGAAGCCACTGCTTATGGTCTGTTTAAATCTGATGCTGCTATGACAGTAGCAGTAAAGATGCTGAAAAGTAAGTTGCTGTACAACTGCTTCTCCCTTCTGGTCAGCGTGTTATGTACTGAACACTGTGCTTTGCTTTGCAGCGAGTGCCCATTTAACAGAAAGAGAAGCCTTGATGTCGGAGCTTAAAGTGCTGAGTTACCTTGGAAACCACATTAATATTGTGAATCTGCTTGGAGCTTGCACTATTGGAGGTGGGGTTATCAATGGATTACTGATTATTTCTGTTCCTTTTTTACTGCCAGAAGGAGGAATCCTGTGAAGGAGTATCCAGTGCTAAGTATAGGAATCTTAAATACATTTCTTGCTTGGGCAGGTTGCAGGTCATCATGACTATCAGCTGTGAATTACTGAGTCTAGATTTTAGGCTCATCCTGAAAGTGGTAATGAGACCACCGTAGCTGCAGCTAAACAGGAAGGTTGCTGTTATTCTCTTTCATGTAAGCCATTGAGCCCTTTCTTCTTGGGAGATGGCAAAATGTATGGAGTAAGTTTTTTCCTCAACCACACTGTTTCTCAGAATAAGAAAACTGGTTCCTTGTTGGTATCCAAGGTGAAGTCAACAGGCCTGTCTTGTATAGTCTTCCAGCCTTCTGTTTAAACTGTAAATGTATCTGTTAAGGCACCACTGAAGTTATAACATTCTAAGCAGCAGAAAGTTGAGAAAAAAATTTTCCAGATAAACTATTGCACAACCGAAATGTTTCACATTTAATATTAACTTAATAAGTTTGTTTTCATGCATAGTAAAAGCTACAAAACAGGTGAAGCGTCAATACAAGAGTGATACAGTCCTGTATTTTTAATTTATGTGCATTTTAGTATGAAAGATGGTGTTGCTTCTTACACAAATACTTGCCCTTTAAGCTCTTGCTGCATTTTTCAAAGAAAAGGGGCTTGTAAAAATTCATAGTTTTAGACGGAGGCAAAACATTTCTTACTTTCACATTTAATGACTTAAAAATAGGATGAAACAAATTTGTTTAAGCAGTCGACAAAGTAGACTCACTGCCCTGAGTGCATGTTTGTCTCGGCTGAAAAAATGTGGCATCTGTAAGAAAATCCCGCCACAAACACTGCTTTTGCGGTTACAAAAGCTATAATTTTTAACTGCATAAAAATGGAAGTAAACTAGTGAGGTTAGGAAATGGTGGTACAGAATAACCTTACAGATGAAATAGCATGCAGTGCAATTACATATTCAAGGGCCGTAGCTGGAGTCATTCACTCAGAAAACATATATTTGATCTATAAACATCCGCGCTGGAGATGACTTGATTCTCCTTTCCGATTTCATTTTAATATTCTAAGGCCTTATGCAATGTAGTTTTCTGTCGCAGCAGGCTGTTCTATTTGAATGATTTTTCCTATTATACTGCAGAATATAACACTCTACATCATTTCCAAAACATTACTGAAGGAGTGTGAAGCTCTACTGTAAACAAAAGTGAATCAAAAGGATTAATGTTTGAAGCTTGAATTACTCTAACATTTGGAACAAATAACTTCCTTTAGGAAGTGAGCAAAATCAAACAGATGTGTCTGGCCAGAAACATTATCACGTGAAGAAAGAGAAAAAGACCTATTTGTTTAATTTTTGTACAATGCAATGCTGTTGTGGGGAGGGAAATTAATTGGGAGCACAGCTTCAGCTTGACCGTAGTTGTTGATCTGTGAAACGGAAGATGCTGGGTTACTTTTCTATAACTTTTCAAGTCTAGACAGTGCTAGGCAGTGTGATTTTAATAGCCCAGTCTGTGTGCTTGGCTGAATGTTATCTTCATGTAAGACTTTCTGCTTTAAAAACAATACTCACCTGCTTTCTAAACCTCATGTATACCTACAGGTCCCACTCTGGTCATTACAGAATATTGCTGCTATGGTGATCTTTTAAATTTTCTGAGACGGAAACGAGATTCATTCATTTGTTCAAAACATGAAGAACATGCAGAAACAGCAGTTTACGAAAACCTTTTGCATCAGGCAGAGCCTGCAGCGTAAGTATGACCTGCTGAAACGTGCTTGTGTTTTTAGAAGATTGAGAAGGAGGAGATATCAAAGTTTATTAAGGACAAGAGGTGTGAAGAAACCTTTCATGCAGCAGGCTTTAAAGATTCTTTGCTGTGCAAGGAAACAATTTAATTAAAGAGACAATTTGTATAGTGGGTGGTTTATTCTAACAGAGTGCAATTGATTGTGTACACTCTTTGTTTTACTTCTTTATCAAATTTCCTGTAGTTACTTCATGCAACTCCTTGGTTCCAATCTTTGTATGTGTTTGTGTTTATCGTTCCCATTAAACATTGGCAGTGCTTATTTAGCAGCTTGAATGACAATTCCCCCAGTGTTGGGGCGTTAATATTCTGACCTCTCCTAAGTTCCTGCCTTCAAAAATGACTTCTTACAAAATCAACCAGTGTCTTAGAGTACCAGAGGCAAGCTGCCACTGATGGCTCACTAGATTTTGTGATGACACGACCCGTGTCACGATTCTGAGATTGCTCGTGTACCTTGATTCTTTTCAGTTACTTCATCTGTGTATTTTTAACCACTCTGTTTTAGATACCAGCCGAGAGCTCTTTCCAAGTACGTTTCCAAGCAGATTTCCTGCTGGCTCCTTCCCTTTGCAAAGTGAGGGAGACATAACTTACCAACACCTAGGGGCTGTTACACTACCTGGCCATTTTTATTTTTAGTCTGTTTATTGCCCCAGTGGGCCCGCTACCTTGTGTTGGCAGACACAAAAGAACTAGGCAGACCCTTAGGAGGTGGTAAAGTCCTTTGTCCCAGCAAGACGTAGTACTGGTGAAACTGTTTGTGCCGTGGTAGTATATGGATAGCTGGTGATGCTCCAGAGAGGTTGGGATGACTGAGGTGCTTAACACAAAGCTGTGATTTGCCATTGGAGGTGTGCCCTCTTTTCAGTGAAGGGCACAGAAGTATTTACTGTACAGTTGCAGCTGCTGAATGCATCAGATGTGTTTCTGGTGGTGACTAAAGCTATTGGTGATCTCATTGCTCCTTTCCATGTTAGCTCTGTGGCTGCTTTTATTGTTCAATAAACTAAACAGATATTTCAAGGTAAAGAAGGGCTATGTATATGAGTTCTAATGGCGATGAAATGAAAACTGCCAAAGCACATCCACCATTTCTAGAGGTACCTAACTGTATATTTATAAACCATATAGTATGAAAATCTATACATTTGATTTATATATAGCAATAAGAAAACTTAAACTTAAAAAACGTAGCAGATGGCTGTCCCAAGCCTCAGCCGATTCTTCAAAATACATACAAATCCCCTATGGAACTTGGGGATCTCTGAATTTAACATTTTGTAGCCTTTGTCTTCTGCATTTCAGTTACCACTTGAGTTGCTGAAATTCTGTGGTAGAAGTTGGAGTAAGCAGAAGGAAGCACTTGGAGATCCTGTGAAACATCTGGATGTTAATTTGTAGAGCGTGAAGTCTGTATAAACAGTAGACATGTGAAAGGTTTTGTTTGCTCACCTGAGCCAAACTCCAAACTTCGAGATGTATCATTATCTGTACTGACAAACGTCTCCTTCTGTACAGGCCTTTCCTCATCTATTTTTACACACCCATGAGTTTCCAATCTACTGACCATTTCTAAAGCGTTATATTCAGAAGGTTGCCATAAGCTTGGCTTTTTGTTTGGATTCCTTTTGAGACTTTTTTCACTAAACTATGTTTCATTTCATCTGCTGCCTCTACAGTGACGTTGCCAATGAGTACATGGACATGAAACCAGGAGTGTCGTATGCAGTCCCACCAAAAGCTGATAAAAAACGACCAGTGAAGTCTGGTGAGTACAGTGTCAAGGAATTCTGTTTGCTGATGGGAGTACAGAGAGAACAGCTTCATGGATTTTTTCAGTTTTATTATACTTTTCTGTCATGAATGTAGACAACTAAAACTCAGTAAATGAATGTAGACAACTAAAACTCAGTAATTGATACGAGAAAGCTGGAGAAAGAACAATATGCTAAATTGCAATGTCTTGTATTTCTCTCCACTTAAATGGAGTATCAAGATTATTTTTTGCTTTTTGGTGATGGTCTATGTGACTCGTCTGGTACTTATTCATATCACTGGTTTGTTTAATGTTAAAACAACTCTGTTTCTAAATTATTGCATTTGCTCCACTCAAAAGCTGTTGTTGTTTATGTTGTGTAGGATCCTACACCGATCAGGATGTTACCCTTTCTATGTCAGAAGATGATGAACTTGCTCTAGATGTTGAAGATCTACTAAGCTTTTCTTACCAGGTGGCAAAGGGCATGAGCTTCCTTGCCTCCAAAAATGTAAGTTAGGAAGTTTTCAGAGCTGGACAGATTTCCTTTAGCATCACTTTCAGTGTATTAATGTGACTCACATGTTTAAATGCTGAATATTTCTGTGTTAATTTCAACAAGCACTGCAAAAACAATATGCTCCTTCTTGTACCTGAAGCTTTGGCTAATGTTGGAGTTCTCTCCTGTGCTCATTGGCCAAAAGTGGTGTTTCATATCCCATAAAACAGAATAATGGGTGCACAGTAGTCAACATGAAGCAGTGCTATTGCATATCCGCAGTTCAGGCTAGCAGAATCAGTGGCCTTGCTCGTGAACAGGAACTAGTCCTAGAAATGTCAAGAGAAGAGGCAGAGGAGAGGAATCGCAGCCAAGTATATTTGCTGCACCCCGAGACTCCACTGATTAATAATGCCACGTGTTGGGAGATGGCATGTGCAGCTGAACTCTGCCCAGCTTGGGTGGTGCTTCTTATGGGTTTGATCTTCAGCCCTTCCTTTTTTCGTGGAGCACACAGGTAGTTTCATGAGAACTCCTGATGGCTTTGGATGCAGTGAAACCCATAGGAACCCTGAGGAGCTATTTCTTCACCCTTCTCTGGAATTAAATGGAATTCAGGAAAGAACTGGAAATCCAACATGTTCACACCTTCAAAAACAATTAAATCTCAAGAGTTTAAGATTTACTCTCTGTGGCTCTGCTGGAGAGTTTACAAACTAAAGAACAGTACGAAGACAGCTGCAAAGCTATCTGTTTGCATGAGTTTTAAACAACACAGCACTTGCTACTTCTGTCATGCAGAACAGTGCCCTAAACAGGGGAGCTACCATATCATGTGCTTTTTTTTTTTTTTTTTTTTTTTTTTAGCAGTATGTCTTAATGCACAGGATATGCCTTGGTTTTTAATTTTCTGGAAAGATAAAATGAGCCTAGAGACCCACAAAGAATGTTTATTGGCTACCCTGAGCATAATAGACACTTCTCTGGGTTTCATAGGAGAGCTGTCCCATAACAGAAAGAGATTTATAAAGAAGTCTTAAGCACAGCATAATTATGGTATTCCAATGGTTATTCTTACATTTTATTGGAAAAATGCCATTTAACGTGTAAACACTGTAACTGATATAGACACAGGATAGTACAGGTGCACCTTGGATAAAGCAGAAGTACGGAATTTAAAGAAAATAAGGTAATCCTGGGGTCCTGTGTTAGTAGTGGGAAATGTGGCTCTAATTCTGCTCCAAAGGAAGTCCACATTAAAAATTGCTTTTGCACTTGTTTTTTTCCCCCCACTGTTCCTCCTTCCAAAACCTGTAGTTTATTTTTCATCTATCAACAGCTTCAAAACAGGCCTTACAGGCAAACACATTATATTACAGATTTTAATGGTTTTCACCAGGCTCCTGCATCCTTCACTATTCAGGACATCCAATGCTTAGCACACATATTCTTTATTTCTTCTTATTTTTGTGTAGAATAGCCCTGGGATTCACTATGCATCATTCCTGGTGACTTTTTTCTTTATAGTCTTTCCGTTGATACAAACAGACACCATGGCATTGAGTAGCAAACATAATAATGAGCGTAACACCACCTCACTGTGAGATTGGGAAGTAATGCGCACTATCACTTTGACAGTGCAGAGTTAACAGCTTTATCACAGAATTAAATTGCAGTGCACTAACACATTACTGTGCTTGGTCCTCTTTGGTCGTTGTGTACGTACACACTCTTAGCCCCAGCTAGTAGATGCAGAGTAGTGTGAGCTGATGGATGCTTCAGATTGCCTCACGGCCTCGGGGAAGGAGGGCCCACACAGACCAGCAGTGCAGAGTACACAGCTGCTCTTCTGCAACTTGTTCGTTGCATAAAAGTGCCCCTGTGCAAGAGTCCGGTTAGGAG